GAGCAGCTGGAACTGCCAAAGAACATCCACTAAGATACACATACTAGAGTATATTCTAATTATTTCTTACAGTTCATTCCTCTTTTTTCATATATCCAATCTAAGAAATCAAGTTGGTCTCTCATCTTGGAGCCCCAAAGATAAAAGTCTCTAAAGCTTCCCCTTTTATAGCACATGAAGATAGCTTTTACATGTACACTCTAGTTCAGGTCATAATTACAAATGTCAAAGTTTAATAAAAGCTCCATTTCACTATCTGATGCTAACCTAGTATCATCAAGAAACAAGTATAAACACAGAAAGACTTAACACTGAGTTAGAACATAATACACTGGTGAAGTTTGTCTCTGCTGACTCATAGGCCTGCTTGTCACAAATAAACTAAAGAGATACAAACAAAAAAACAGAGTGGGGAAACTCACTTTCCCTGTAGCTGTTTTTGAAAGAGCTGTACCCCCACCCCCCACATCGACTGCCTCAGGATCAGGTTCCATTAAGTCTCAAGACCTACCCTGACAAAGCAAAGAGTCCCTGAAACTCTGTAGGGCAGGGAATTATGGAAATAGAGACAAATCAAATAATTCCTCCCCTGGTTTGGGATGGAAACAGATGGATGAGACTCTAGGAAGCAAAATTACAAGATATCTTAATCAGCAGAGAATTAATTATCTTAAACAACAAGGACACTCATTCCTTCAGGTAAGACTTTCAAGGGATTCCTTTTTCAAAGCCCACAACACTGCCAGTATTAACAGATACAATACAAACAATACCAACATCCATAACATTTATTTAAGACTATGTCTCCCCTCAGAATTATTACCGTAAGCCTAAGGATGCACTTGGAAGCAATAAAACTTTCTGAAAATATGAACTTAAATAAGGGACACACCACAAGACAAAAAGCACTACAAGCTGGCAGAGAGACCTCCCTAGCTTCTCAAGTAAGCCCCATAGGATTGATCGAAAAATGCATTGCTATATACAAACCTGAGAAATGGCATGGCCTATGTGAACTGAGCACACCTGCATGCAGTGCATGTTTCAGGTAGCAGATAGATAAATAAATAAATTTTAGAATAATGAAAAAGTGACCTTCTAGCTTTATGCAACTCCAATTTTAATAGTTGTTAAACACCAGCATTACAGGATTTGGGACAAAACAAAACAAAAGTCTAGATTAGGGTTCTAAATGCCTTACTCCAAACTGAACACCAAGGAACTTTAGATTTGGAGCACATAGAGAAGGTACTCAAGAATGAGCAAAAAAAGGCATGGGAAAAACAAGAAAAATACATTAAGGCTGATGAACAGGGCCTAGAAGTCAAACAGAGTGGAAAAAGTGATCTCTGGCAAATCCTAAGCACATCATCTCTGTAAAGCATGCCACATTCCTTCTAGCATTCAGCAGAAATACTACATTTCTGAACATATATATCACCATTTATTATATATGTTTTCAAGTTTGTGCAGCACAACTATTCTCCTTATTTGTCTCATGAGAAAATATATTGTTTTGTTGAAAAATCATAATTGCATAGCAAAGCTTGTATTATTTTGGCTGATACACAGTAAATTTTTAAACTTCAACTAAAAACTGTTAAAACATCCAGCACATCAAGTAAAAAACAATTTAAACTTAGTCACAAAATTATATTTCTACTTACAAGTATGTAAGCATTCTGTTACAGTGGTGGCATCAATCAGGTATCCATTGCACAGACGACAGGTTATATGGGCATTAATGTCCCAAAGCTTAATCTTTCTAGTCAGCATCTTTGGTATCTGTAAAAAACAAAACCCCCACACATTAGATAGTAACTCAGATATTTCAAAACTACCTTTACTTGCTCAGTATATCTGAGTAACTATAATTCACTTTAAAGATATGCTTATGTAGATAGCTTCAGGCTCTTGTATACTCATGCATATATTTTGACTGAGTACTAAACTTTTAAAGGATGATAGAGGTGAACAGTGAAACAATGAGAAATCTATACTACTTTGCATGTCAAGGTTTCAGAGTAAAAAAAGTGTCATCCTAATATATTACTAATACTGTTCTCTTACTGAAGAGGGGATGCAGATTTAAGACCAAATCCTACCATTTTACTCATCTGAATTACTAGCTTGAGTGACATTAAGACATACGAAAGTGAAGAGAGATGATCCTTCAGTAATTGACAAAGTACAAAATCAGAGGGAATAGGGCTGATTTGACAAATTTGGGCTAACCACGTTAAATGTTGGCCTCACATCTCTTTATGGTTAGAGCATGATTTTGAATCTGTATATGAAAAATGGAGCTCAAAAGTAAAAATAAAATGGGTTTCTTAAAAGTTAAAAATCAAGTTAAATAAAGAGAACATGACAAACCAAAACTGCTGTTCCATCAGTAGAGCTATACCCTGTTGTATTATGAAACATGAAGTACAGAGCTTTCCCCGCTCCCCTTTTCCAGATTAAAGGATGCCACAACCACCATTAAAAGGAAAGCATTCAGAACTTAAAAATGAAATAGCTTTTTTTTTTCCCCAACCATTTTTTTTCGCAACATTGCCCATCATTGGTAGAGAAAATAGCCTACAAAACACATGCTTTAACAAACAAATATACTCCTACCTTTTAAATAGATATTATCTTTCTGCCTATGGAATCTCAAAAAGAAGAGTAATAGAAATTTAAAAAAAAAAGTAGTAAGTCAATTCAGACTGCGCTAAGAAACTAAGTAACTTTTAACTCTCAAATATAATCATTGGCTGTATGTTTATGAGAATTATAAGATTCAAGCTTCCTAAACCCCCCCCCCATAATCACAATTGAATACTTAAATTTAATGTTCTGTCTATCCTCAGAACATATGGAAAATTAACCCTCTCCCACTTTTAATACAAAAACACTTAAGTTACACAGTCTTTTCTCTCCCAGATACCCAGCTCTCAAAAATGAGTATTTTGCTATGATGAAGATAACTTGTTATCTCTTTCAAAGGAGGAAGCAGAAAATAGCTGCATAAACAATACTGGAAGGCACAAACAGTCAAAGAAGAAAAGCTTGATAGATGAGGGGTGTGTGCGTGTGTATGTATCTCAAGGTATGTATGTATATATAATACACACACACACACACCTTGATGATACTGTGTACCATTTTTCATTCCTTCTGTTTAAAATACAAGAGAGGATAAGTTACCCAGGAAGCAGATACATTCTGATCCACAAAAAAAATCCTTATGGGGGCAGTTTAAAATATGATAAAGAATCCACTTGCTTATACATATATAGTAAAAAGAAAATTGCACTGGTAGCATAAATGACAGCATTAAATTTAAATAAAACAGGAGACTAAACTGGTTTACAATCTGTCACATTTGCTTCCCACGCCACAGATATTACCAGATTATCTTGCTTTCCAGTAAAGTGACTAAATAAGTTATTTTAATTTAGTTGGTTTTGGAATATATTTCAGAATTTGAATAGTGAAACATTTTTCACAGTATGCAAAGTTTCAGACAAGAATATTACAAGGTGGCAGCCTGACCCATAACTTTTATAAACTTAGAAAAAGATTAAGGTAAATGGACTAAGTGGTAAACTAAGCAAAAAAAACTATCACAGAACCTAAACTTCCAAACTAACCTGAAAGATATTAGCATTGAAAAGAGTACATTACATTCCATTATAAACTACTGAAGTGCATTTTCTCTCAAGCACTGTAAAACCTATACTGTGTGATATTACCCTCTGCTGATCTTCCATGTGGGTGCTAATGACACGAAAGGCAAACTGGAAACCATCAAACAGGACTTCAGAGCTCTGGGGATGGTGGTGAAGGGTCTGGGAGCCCAGGTCGTTTTCTCCTCAATCTTGCCTGTGAGGGGAAAGGATGGGAGGAGGAGTAGACGAGTTTTCCAAGTTAACAGCTGGCTGCGCCGCTGGTGTTGGCAACAGGGCTTTGGTTTCTATGACCATGGGACCCTGTTTGAAGATCAACAGCTGATAGGGAGTGATGGGATCCACCTTACCAAGCGGGGCACGCGCGTCTTTGCCAACAGATTGGCCAGCCTGGTAAGGAGGGCTTTAAACTAGG